TTGACAGGATTGGAAAGGCACTTTTTGGTCCATGTTTTTGCTACGTCCTGCACTGAAAGGCCAGTGCGACATCTGCCATTCAACAATGAGTATGCTATCTGTGAGGCCATAGTTTCCCGTACATCTTTCTGTCGGACATTTGGAATGGCTCTTTGGTCGCAACTGCCCATCGCAGGCCGCACAAGGTGCCGCGCAACCGACCCTGGCATGTTGAAACCAAGACAGGCAATGTCGGTAGTGCCAACTGAACACCGCTGCAAACACGGACAATCAAGGCTACGGCGGGGATTCCGGGACCTTTGGTGGCACAGAGTGTAGGTGCTGTTGTGAAGCCAGAAGCGTGTGTGCGTGCGTGTGCATTTCGGCAAGCCACCAGCATCGTTGTAAACCCGGGCTAGTTGGTTTAGTCCCAATCGCAGGATGTGCCTGTGACTGAGGTGGACTGGTTGCAAAGCCGGAAACAATCCAAACTCGGCATGTCAATATGCTGCTCACCTGCACATTGCAGTCGGTCAATATGGATCTGGTCATGGTGCACCATGATCCCGGACTTGTCGTGCAGTGGTTTCCCCCCCACCCCCCCAGCACTGCTTCGTGAAGCACTCAGAGATGCTCGATAGCAGAATGCACAGTTTCCTTCGGCGGTCCATGCTTTGCAGTACACGGTGCATTTGGGAGACATCGAAGCGGCAATGCAGTGTGGTGTGTCTAGTCTAAGCCGTGTCGCGTTTCTCTCATGGCTGGAGGCTGTACGCAACATCAGGGTCTGGCCCTTGGAAGCCCCACTTTGTGAATTGGGAGTCTCGTGTTGGGCAGCGTCTTCGCCCGAGGTCTACACTGATGATGGCAGTCCGATGTTCAGCGCCGTGTCTGAAAAGTGCTGGTGGCCACGAATGTACTCCCGTTTGATTGGTGCGATCAGCACCAGTGCACCAAAGTAAATTCCGCCGATGACGATGTTTATGGATTCCAGTTTCGCTTGCCTGTTCTGCGACCTCATGCACTCGGAATCCCAGATATCCGCAACACATGCGCGTGTTTGCGCTAGCATGGACATTCAACCTTGGCCTCAGGGGGCACACGAAGAAACAACCGACCCCCCGGAATGAATTCCTCCCCGGAAGTAACAAGCATGGAATGGAGAGCGATTTCATCATAATGAATGTGCCCTCTACCGGCTCCTTCCCTTCCCGGCAAAGGAATGGGGAACCAGTTCATTAGTATTGTTGTTTCGGCTATGGTGCTGTAGCGGTTAGCGGCGATGATGGTGATGATGATGATGAGTATTACATTGTTGCTGTTCGCATTTGCCCCCGTCCACTCTCTGCCGGCTGCTTGCCCCCCATTGTCTTAGTTTGTTTCCCCTCCTTCCGCCCCCCTCCCCCCTGCGCCTCCACCTGCCCCCCTGTTGCGGCTTCTCTCAGTGGAATTGGAAGCCATTTCGCGACTGTCATGACTATTAGTCTTGTTGTTCTTGGTGTTGCTGCTGCTGTTGATGTTCTAGGTGTTGCTGCTGCTGCTGGTGCTGGTGCTGGTGCTGGTGCTGGTGCTGGTGCTGGTGCTGGTGCTGGTGCTGGTGCTGGTGCTGGTGCTGGTGCTTGGGGTGGTTGTTGTTGTTGTTGTGGTTGTTGTGGTTGTTGGTTGTCTTTTGTTTGCCCCGCAGCTTAAGCTTTTAGGGGTTCTAGCTAAATGTGGGGCCGCGCTGTGTGGGGTGCCGCGGCATGCAAATGGGGCGCGCCGGGTCCGCCGCCGGCAAAGGGCGAGAGGGGTGCAGCGGCGTATGCAGTTGGCATGCCGGTGGCATGCAGGTGGTTCAGGGCGCCGTGTCCGTCACCCGAAATGGGTGCAGCGGCATGCAGGCGGAGCGGGCTGTGTCCACTGCCGCAGCGGCATGCAAGTGGGGCGCGTGTCCACCGCCGCTGCAGGGTGTGCAGCGGCATGCAGTCGGCATGCTCATGCACCCAGTGGACCCAAAGAGCCCTGCCCAAATAAGATAAGATGCCTCAAGCCCCGGCCGGGAACAAAGGAAACAAGCTTACTTAAAGGCATCAGGCCTTAAATTAGGGAGGATAGCTCTTAAATAGAGACGAAAAGCCTTAAAATTTAAGGCTGCGAGCTTTAAGTAAGCTCCAGGAGCCCGAAATGGAAAAGTTTCCGTGGATCCTATTTAAAGAAGTTGTTTTTGGAAACAAGGAAGGTTGGTCGTAATGGCAACACAGCGATAATGACGACGTGATGCATTGCAACTAATCCCCACCATGTGGTTGAAAATCGGGCATAGTCAGGTCTTCCAAGTCTGTACACGACAGGTCTCGGCTCGACCACTTAGATCTAAGCGGTGACATAGGTGTTGGGCCTGCTGGAACACCTTCGAGGCGTGTGCAACGTACTATGTAAGCCCCGCAAAAGTTGTGGCATGGACGGTATCTCTCCTTTGAGCTATTGCAGCTTGTAATGCCAATGGAATGTAGAGTCCATCTGGTTGAACATTAACACCTCTGTACTCTTCCAGACTACAACGCTACCTGATCCCTGGCTGTCATCTCGACTGACCCTACTTCCGAAGATACCCTTACTCACCGAGCCGGGCGATCTTCGCCCCATCGTGCTCGGCAGCACGCCAGGCAAGCTCTTCACAAAGATCCTTTTATGCGTCTACGACCCCGGTCCCCTCCCCCCGCGTAGCCAACTCCAGGAGATTGAGCCAACAGTATAATCTCCCCCTCATCGCTATCAAGCTTGACATCGCTTCAGCCTTTTGACAACATGAGTCACAGCTCTGTCTTCGGTCTCGTGGGCCCTGTCTAGAATGCAATGCAAATTGAAGATGCACGCTGGGCATGTCTTGCATATATTGATGCCAAAAGGCAGCAAAGTTAATTATTGGCCAAATAGCTGTCGTTTCTCGCAGTTGCTAGGGGACAAGCTCCAACCCATTGGTGCCCCACCCTTCTGGGATTATGCAGCCCTCCACCGACAAGATTGGACAAGTCTGACAGAAACCTGGCTGAGTCACTGCAACCTCCAACCCGTACTGTACTACCCCGACCTCAACAAACTGATCTCCTTCCAAATAGGGAAAACCTTCAATGCGGGAGGCAAAAAAACTCACCATGAGGCATGAGCCGGTCGAGACCCCATACTATACACTCAGGGACCGGAGCCCGTAAATGATGATGACCTACAAAGCATCCAGGTCTGTAGAGGACTCGCCGTCGCCATTCTGCCCCCTTATGGGGACATTGGGAGCTGCATACTCTGCAGCAGTCGAATCGAAGGCGATTGCACGAATATTCGTGAGGCAGCTGTTGCCGCAGTCAGGCCGCTTAAACCAATATTGTCCCTCCGGAAATATCTTGGACATCATATCCCTATCAAGTTTAACAGTTTATGACGGACTTCAGCTTCGTCCTCCAAATCCTCAGTGAAACCATTCGCAACTACCTCTGCCTATGCCAGTGAGCTCAACGAGCTTCATTATCTTTGGTCACAACTGTATGAATGTTGTGGCGGCTGACGTTACGGGACATGCCGGACATGCCCTCAATGCAGTTGCAGACCATGCAGCAAAACATGATTTGTACTAGACACAGAGCCGCGTGGTCTATCGCACGGCCTGCTTCGCCAGTCTTCGCCCAAGCACACCTCCTACCTCAACGACACCCGGCCTCGAATAGATACTTGGCGTCCTTCCTGTTACCATACACCTCCTCCTTGAAGGTCGTGAGGAAATCTGGGAAGCCTGAACAGATGAATCTCACAAGAGTGAGAACTCCTGGCCCGTGAGAAGCGCTGGAGGCCAGAAGAGGAAAATACCTGCAGACCTGCTGGGATAAAGCATTTTCTGGCAAGCTACTGTACAGCGAGCTTGGTGCATGAAAGTTGAAAGCAACATGCCCTTCATGCTGGCTGGCAGCAGTTCCTGAATGTTCTTGATTGGCTTGGAAGATGCAACCACTCCTGCAAGCTTCCCTAGCCTGTGTATGACGCCTTGTCCACTAACACAGAGAGGTCAAGGAGAGGGGACATCTCCTTTCAGGACTGGCTTTGCCCATGGACACAGAGAGGTCAATGAGTGGTGACAACGTTTATTGAGGACTGAATTCGAATGACATTCGAGACCTTGCGGGGCCCAAGTCAGTGTGCTGCAAACCAGTCATGTCAGCTGCTCGAGATGACGGTGACAGATGGTGACTGTAATTGGTAATTCAGTTTTGCCCGGAAACAGGACATTTGCATGCATATCAAGGTGCATTTGGCACAGACTCAAGTATGTAGCCTAGCTTGACCATTTACCGGTTTCGCAGCTACCACGATTCGACACATGTTTTGCACTTGTGTCTTTATATGTGTTATTACCCTATGGCTTGTATCTCGCTGTTTTTCCACCTTTCAAGTCAGTGCAAAACCTCTCAAGTCATGTACAAATGTGCTGAGACGTGAAGGGCCAGATCAGCCCCCTGGGTCATGTACGGTTTGTTCGGGCTAATGGACTTCGCCCGGGAGATCGACGGTTATGCAAGCTCCTCTCTACACTGGTTGACAGTTGTTTCTGGCTTGTCCACTGCAGACAGTGCATGTACCATCGGTTTCATGACATCAGGGAAGGGAGGGGCGGGGGGCAGGGCGGTAAACATTTATTCTGTTGCGAGCTCCGTGGACAGTTGGCTGTCTGCTTTGGAACGTATGGCTAGATATGATGCGTTGCGTGTCAATGCAGCAGAGACATTGATTGTCTGCAGGACGTCCAACACGCAAACTCAGCATAACCCACTTGCGCCATAGAACTTCCCCCTCAGGGCCCGATGGCTTTCCATGCTGGCCTGATCTTCCCGCCCCAGCTGAGACCGGACGTGGAAGTGTCAGGCCACTCCGATTGCACTTATATGGACCGCAGTAGCGCTCTTCATGCCACCCCTCATCTACATGGCCGCTAAGCATGGTCTGTGCATCATCCGGTTTGGGATGGGCGGAAGCCATGAAGAAACAGACTGAGCTTCATGACCAGACACTGGCAAGACACGCTACATGCTGCTGTCACAGCTGGCGCACAGAAGGTGACGCTGGACGATGCACAGACGACGCAGCTTTCGGACCTGCTGATCCAGGAGACCCGCGAAACAAGGAAGGCTGCGTTGCTCCTGGCCAAGCTCAGAAACGTGCCGAGATGGTGTGCTGGCACAGAGCAGGGAGGTTCTTCAAGACCAGCAGAACGCGCCAGTCGCCACATGGTCGAGTGGATCCAGCAATTTGGGGGACAAGATGATTGCGCTGGACAAACTGGGGATGTCTTGTCGACAAACATCCAGAAAGTCTCCAACGAGTCGCACGTGGGCTCCAGAAGCACCAGTCGCAGTGGCTCACGGAGCATGGCAGCCTCAAATTCCCACGTGGCCAACATTATCCCAATGGTACTGGTACGCGAAATGCGAAGCAACATCCTGCCCAACACTCTGGCGGAGGAGGCGGAGACGGATTCAGTGGGAGCCTCTCCAACATTGGCCACACCGTCTCGGAGAGCAAAGATGCCCTGGACCAGATGTGGAGCTGGATGAGCGATGTCAGCCGGCAGGTTATGAACTTGTGTTGTCATGCACAGCAGTCAACAGAAGCTGTGCTGGACCGCCTAATCCGGCTCGAAAGCCACCGCTGCAGTCCGGTGGCACCATCACTGGGGTGCACACGGGTGGCCCCTCCAGCTCACAGGGACATGCTGAGCTGATCAGGCTCCAAAAGACGATCACACCGCCTGTGCAGCCACTATATGTCTCCCATGCGCCACCGCTCATCATGACGCCCGCGATTGGACAAAAAGCTCAGTGCCTGCTCACGCCGCAACAGGAAGCCATGCTCCGAAGTGTTTTTCGCTATGCGACCACGACCACGAGGAGACCACCAGGACGCCACCTTGGAGACCACCAGGAGACGCCCGAACGCCGCCAGGAGAGCATCAGGCTAATTGTCGGATCCAGGAACCGCGAAAATGCTTTCCTTCAAGTACTGGCGCGATTCCAGACCACGGCGATTATGTTTCCCCCTTCACCACGGATCCCTTCCCCCTAGTATTGCTGCGATTTACATTGAATCCTCGCCCAGTGAATCCTGGCCTGAAAACCCGGAGCACACCGAATCCTCTGCAATCAGTACGACGCCAACGAAAAGTATATGCATGGCACTTACCGCGCCAGAGCGTGCTCGCTGCACGGATCCTGTTTAAACAGTAGGGTGCAGGGAGCAAAAATCGCGCGCTGTTATGTTCATAGTATGAGCCATTGTCTGAAGGCTGGCTGAGGGTAAAGACCCCTTAATGCAAAGGGCTTCACATGGTACTTCCACAGCGATAATAATGCCGGCCCTTTTGCCCGCTTCCCGCTCTTGGAGAAATAGCAGTAGTAATAATAATAACGATAATAATGGTGATAGCAATAGTCGTAATACTAATGCTGTAATATTGATACTCGCAACAATATTAATAAAAGAATGTGAAGAGACATCGAAGCCTAGCACAATTTCTCTGTGAGCTATGTTTCCCTGTGTTTGCCCATGACCTTGGGAGGGTTTCACCCACCAAGGTGTACCGATGCTTAGGTGGATTGCACCCACTAAGCGGAGGTTAGAACAGCTCAACATATCGGCGTTTGGCTCAAGCCAATAAGTGATTATGCACTATTCACCGATCTGCTTGCCATAGTCCAGTGCGTACAGCCTTCGTGCAAAGACAGCACCTGACGCCGCTCGACGCAGTGAAAAGTGTGGGTCCGGCTGTGCTTGCGGAGGGTCATTGTCAGAACCATTGGAAGCGCAAACACTCTTACATCTACTACAAGCTCATCTGAGGGGAGCGAGGTTATACGCTATATCGTGTACCAAACCCTCACGCAGGTTATCAGCCTATCAACGACTTTGACTTTGTGACGCACACAACATATGACATCAGGATCGTGTGCAGACACAACCATGACTTTCTGGTGGTGAAGTGGCAATGCCAGCAGCAGGTGAGTCGACTGCCGAAGAAGCACAGACCATATCTGTTGACTCCGTTACCACAGAAGAAGAAAAGAAAGCGCGAAATCAATCAACGGCATCATCATCGAGGCTGGGAGCAATTTCTTTACCAAGGACAAGCTCGCAAACGCGATCATTGTCTTCCGGTCACAGCGCCAAAGCAAGCGACAGAAGACTGTCGAAATCAGTTATCCAAAGTCGGCCAACCATCAAGAAGGTGAAAGACCGCGGGTGAAGCCAAGTCGAACCTCTTCGAGGGCGACACGGCCGATGCTGCGTTGGACAGGGCGATACGAGGTCAGAATCAGCGAGGATTGCCAAGCAATCTCCCGGTGTTGAACCTGATCCTTCAGTCTCGATCGACGAACCACCAGCTCATCGAGCAGTTGATGCATGCGGAGGAGAAGATGCAGATTGCTCATCAAGAGGATATTCATCGTCGCGAAGAAATAACCATGGGTTTACTCGCCAAGATGAACGAGATGGTTCAGGAAGATCAAGGATCAAAGCTGAGAATTGAAGAACTTGAATGTCAACGTGATTTGCTACGCACTGCAGTGGAACATGTGAATCGAGTACACCAGAATGCGCTCGAAGATCATGTCCATGGTATTGAAAGAATTGAGGAAGCCAGTCACGCCCACGCGACGAGGAATTGGCTACGTCTCTACATCAAGAATTGGGGCAACTCCGGAACGATGCTGCTCAAACATTCACCAGCATTGAGCATCAAGTACAAGGAGAAGGGCAACAATTGGCGATGGAATACCAAAGACTCGTGACCGAACTCAATCAGGAAGCTCACGAAACCCTTCAGTCCAAGTCGGAAGCATCACAGAATTTATCTGCGGTGACAATCATGAAGGAACAGATGGGCCTGATGAAGAACGGAGAGAACGCGCTTTGGGATGAAGCGAACAAGAAGATGTCAGATTTGGAATCAGGTGCTCAAGAACTTCGAAATCGATTGGATCGTGAGGAATTCGCCAAGTCAGAAACCATGATGAGATTGCGACAGATGGAGACGACCACAGTGAACGAGGGTGGAGTGTCACCGTCAGCTCTTCACAGTGAAGTGGGTAAACTTCGTCGCCGTCTGAAACAGCAGGAAGAGTTTCAAGCACGCAGTCAACAAGCATGGAGACAGGAAATCAAAATCGCTCGACGACAACCTCACTTGGCATCGCAACAATCTCCGAGCATGCCTTTGTCTTCCAAGACTTCTGATGCAGGATGGGAGTATGTACATAGCCAGGGTAGCCAGAAGGGTCTTTCTTTCCCCGTAGGAAATGAAGTGCGATCCCCTGAGCTCAGTTCTCCTACGCTCCGAAGTCCTACTAGTAGAAGTAAAGTGGCATCCGATGTTCAACCCGATGCTCCGCCAATCGTACAAGATGTTAACATGGATCCTCCAAGTGGTCCGTCATTGCCATCGCGTGCAGATTCGGCCCAGGATTCATCGCAGTTCCGAACGTATCTTGCGAGTGGGGGTTACGGTGTCGGGAAGGTGAATGCTCAACATTCAGAACGAGCGAACGCGTTCCGCGGCGCTCAGCTTCAGGACCTTCTCAAGACGCAAGGTATGTGGAGACCATCGATGCCGTCGTCATCTATGTCACGTTCATACAAGAACATTTTCAAGGAGAACGACGACAACGGCACCGGCAAATTGATTGCGCATTTGATCGAAGAGGACGTGAGGAATGCGGACGCGGAACAAGGACATGATCATAACCTACTTCGTCGTGATCCAGCTACACAATCGTCTTCGAGTCAAACAAAAGGAGAAGAACGATGGTTAAAAATGGAATCCGAGCAGCAAGCGCGCATGGATGAACTTAGTTCAGAGTTACGACTTGCCAAAGAGACAGAAGACAGATTAGGAGGTGATCGTGAATATTGGAAGCATACCGCTGAGTATTACCAACAGGAACAACATCCAGGTGGTGGTTATGGCGAAGGCGAAGAAGAAGAAGTCACACCTTCGGAGTCGCCGTCTAACCTTGGACCTAGTGGGCCTGGTGGTGGCAAAGGTGGGGATCCCCATGGGTCACCATCGCACAGCAGTGGACGAAGAGGAGGTGATCCTCCGGGACCGCCGTCCGAGGACCCAAGTGATGGTGGAGTCCATGACGTCACAGAGGTCAAGATATCCAGAAGGGAGGCTGACAACGTCATTGTTCCTCCGTTTCCTAAGGTTACTCATCTTGACAGCTGGATGTCTCATTGCATTGCCAATATGCTCAGTGCGTGCGCAGATCCCAATCACGACGAGTGGATCAGCTGGACAAACCCGGCATTCAGGCCAGATCCAGATATCGAGGGCTTGAATGATTCGGGACGCCTCAAGTTCAAGCGCATCGACGTGAAATTGGGCGTTGCTATGACAGCTATGCTCAAAGCGGCCGGCGATGCTGCCATGGATCTCTATCTGGTCGTGAACTGCAAGGCGAATAAGTACGTCCGGGAGAAGTCGAAACTGAACAAGGGCAGGCAAATCATTGCGATGATGTACGAAAGTTTCAGAACGAGAGATCGGTTGGACATGGTGGTCACGCTCGAGTACCTCATCAAGCTACAGTATCAAGGTGACCAACACATGAGTGTATTCAAGCAAACGTGGTTGGAATGTATTGACCGAATGCGACCAGAGGATGTGCCGTCCGAGAATGCGTTGCGTGACACCCTACATTCCAAGATCAAGGAGTCACCGGCTCTCAAGATGGAGCTTCTCGTCTACTACGACATGCTCACGTATGACGACCCGAAGAGATCTTACAAGACTTTGTTGCATCTCAGCGATCGATGTATTCAGAAGCAGCGCGAACAGAAGATGTTGAAACAGACCCAAGTTGGATTACAACAGATGATCCAAGGCAAAGATCCGTTGTCGGCAATGGCTGCGAAAGCAAAGGGGACAGAAGCCGCGACTCCTGCTCCTAAGAAACCAACGAAGCCGCCGAAACACGAGGAGGCTGCACCTGTACTTCCACAAAGCAAGGCCAAAGCCCACGCAAAAGCAAAGGCTGGAAAGGGAAAAGGCAAAGGGAAGGACAGAGACAGGTCCGAATCGGTCGATGCCAAAGCGAAAATGAAGCACATGCGTTACGATGCAGGTTCTTCTTTTCTGAAAGCAGTGAATGCAGGACTGGGGATAAGTGCCCATACAGCCATTCAAAGAAGACTCCTGAACGAGGCCGAGGTACATCTCCAGATCCTCGACGTAGGCCTTCAAGAAGTCCATCCGCTGGGCAAGGAGAGAAGATATGTTTTCAGTACAAGAACAATGGGTACAAGCACGTTGACCCTGCAACGCCAGCCGAAGGAAAGCCAAAGGCCAAGGCTAAGGCAGAGGCAAAGGCTAAAGCGGAAGCTAAGCCAAAGCCAAAAGGGAAAGCGAAAGCCATTCCTGCGGCTCCAGCCATTCGACTATGCAGAGCATGGAATCCCTTAGCTCCAGCAATTCAGAAGCGGAGCAACATCTATGATGATGACGTCTCGGAGTGCTCATGATTGGACAGCGACGCTGACTCAGATTGCTCCACTGACA